TTAGGGCTTGAAGGGTTGCCCCAAAAGTGCTACCAGAGGGGAAGTGCTCAACCAGTTGACTAGTAGAGTACCCCTTGATTCCGCGAGTAGAACTGCGCCAGTAACGCGCCTCGTAATGTGCTTAATATGCGCAGATCAGCCAGCAGGGGGCAGTTCCTACCGCCAAGGTTGAGCCAACAGCAGATGGCGCAGATTCCCAGGTAAGCCTGGGCCAAGTGTCCCCGAAAGTGTCTATACATATGTGTTTTGGACTAGACAAGAGCAAGTGTCACATTCCAGCAAGCGTATCAAATGCATTGATAGAACTGGCTTTCATTATTTGTTTCCAGGATTCAATGGAATTGTGGTGCGAAGAGCACTGCCAAGTGGGCTCTGCGAATTTCCTCGCAAATCCGTGCCTGGGACGATGCCGCGGCGTGCTCAACATCCCGACGGCGTGGTCTACCGTCTGTAAAAACCTGCGGGAGTCGGCGCCTCTACAATCCCTAGGAGGAAGTACTGTTCTTCGGGGCTGACCAAATGAGGGAACGTTCTGTCGTCAGCTGACTTTGCTCGCTGCCGCGCGCTCGGATTCGAAACAAGGGCTGAAGCGTCGGAACAGTTTTTCGCTAGGATGGATGTGATCGCATCGCGATCCCACTATGCTTTTTGTTGAGCTTGTTTATATTGCCCAATTAAGCCGTACTCGGCCGTACTGTTTTCATTCGATCCTTCCACAAATTACGAGAGCTCGGCGCCTGCAAGACTCAGGGTAGGCCAGCCCGCCGAACACACAAGCACTACCGGTGTGGTGTTGCCTACCTATCAGGCGCTTTGAGACCTTGATGAACAAAGCAGTATCGTAACGGCGGCAGACGATGGACGCATTTTTTGGATCCACCAACCGTAATAAGGTCGATGATTTAAATTAAACAAAGAACAAGTTCATTTCATACTACAAAATTAATTTTGTGTTCTACGTCTTCCTTTGATTTTGGGGTGGCATAAGACGAACCGACGGAAACCTGCTGGAACTTGCTTTAATTTTGTTTTCAGGATAAAGTTGAAGTGTCAGTTGAACTGTGGTGCGAAGAGCACTGCCGAGTGGGCTCTGCGAACTTCCACACAAATCCGTGCCTTGGACGATGCCGCGGCGTGCTCAACATCCCGACGGCGTGGTCTACCCTCTGTGAAAACCTGCGGGAGTCGGCGCCTCTACAAGACACGATTTTGGAGCTCGATAGTCCTACCAATATCAATCAAGACGGCCAAAAAAAGGTAAAATAT